GGGGCGGCCGCAGGTGTCGCGGTGCCCCCGGCTCCGGGCCCAGAGGCGTCGGCCTTCCTCGCCGTGCTTATTGCCAGCGGCCCCAAGTACACGGAGCGCCGCAGCATCATCCGCAGCACGTGGCTGTCGACGGCGGGCCGCCCGCCCCACGAGGACGTGTGGTGCCGCTTCGTGGTGGGCACGGGCGGCCTGGGCGGCGACGAGCTGCGTGGCCTGGAGCTGGAGCAGAGCCGCCACCGCGACCTCCTGCTGTTGCCCGAGTTGCGCGATTCCTATGAGAACCTGACGGCCAAGATCCTGGCCATGTACGTGTGGCTCGACCTGCACCTGGACTTCCGCTTCGTCCTCAAGGCCGACGACGACACCTTCGTGCGCCTGGACGTGGTGGTGGAGGAGCTGAGGGCCAAGGAGCCACGGCGCCTCTACTGGGGCTTCTTTTCCGGGCGCGGCCGGGTCAAGTCCGGTGGCAAGTGGAAGGAGAGCGCCTGGGTCCTCTGTGACTATTACCTGCCTTACGCCCTGGGGGGTGGCTACGTGCTCTCCGCAGACCTGGTGCACTACCTGCGCCTCAGCCGCGACTATCTGAACATGTGGCAGAGCGAGGATGTCTCCCTTGGTGCCTGGCTGGCCCCTGTTGAGGTTAAGAGGGTGCATGACCCTCGTTTCGACACTGAGTACAAGTCGCGCGGCTGCAACAATAAGTATGTGGTCACCCACAAGCAGAGCATCGAGGACATGCTTGAGAAGCACCAGACACTGGCCAAAGAAGGGAAGCTTTGCAAGGAGGAGGTTAAGCTGCGGCTTTCCTACATGTATGACTGGGGGGTCCCTCCTTCACAGTGTTGCCAGAGGAAAGACGGCATCCCTTGAACGTTTTGGGAGAAGGGCAGACTCTGAGCTGATTCTCTGTTACAGGGCCCGCTGGAAGTTGGGCTTGAAAATTACTCAGTTTGCACAAATTGTACGTGGAGACCATGTGCACGGACCAACATAACCCTGAAATTTTTAAGAAATACAAAAATCCAGAAATGGGGGGATGGGAAAGGGTGATAGGATGGAACCCGAATGCAAAGAACACGTGGGGATAACTTGGATGCAGGGCAGCTTGAAAGACCTTTGACTGACTCCAACATTTGTTTGCTGGAGAACACCTCAGGCCTTCACACCATCCGCAAGATTTGAAACCAATGCCTGCTATTCATTCTTTGCAGGGAACAAGCATCATCTGGCCGAGCCTGTTGGCAGCATTTAAAGACTGATAATGGGATCACAGATCGGATCAGTGGGAACAGCTGGCTGATAGAGGCATGGCATTTAAGAATAGGAAAATGTGTCAGATTTTGCAGTGTTTATGTTGGCATTGGGGGTTGCCTAATGTTTGGACAGGGCTCTTATCTGCAAGATCTGAATTGTTAGAAGACTGGCAACTTCTCTCTGAATTTAATCCTTTAAACCTTTTTTTTTTTTTAAACATGATGGTGTACTGTGTAACCTGAACTATCTGGCAGCTACAACATAGATCTGTGTTTGGAAGGGAGTATGTATTATGCCATTTTGCATATATGCTAGGGTACATTATCAGTCTTATTTTGGAGGCTAACACTTGGTTACTGGGATTAAATGCTGCTCTTATTATATTCTTCAAGCGTATTGTATGAACTAGTTTAACTACCTTTTTTACAAGAAAAAACCCAATGATGAGTAAGGTCTTGCAAGGGTTAGCCAGATTCGAATCTCAGTATCTCAGACGGGAAGTACAAAACCACCAGGCTATTTGGACTAATTTTAAATATAATTCTGCAAAAAAATAAGTAGATCCAATGTTGGCTATTCACATGGTATGTCACGGGGATTTATTTTTACATTTCTCTCTAGTCCTGTCTACACTACAATTGAATTTATTGCTGACAAGGGTCCAATGTTGAAAATTAATTTCTCCACCAGTATAGATGGGATGTTTCTGCACACTGATGGAGCTCATCATTCATAGGAGTAATTCCAGCACGTATGACCTTTTTTGCTGTACATTTTTTAGCTGTGCGTGTAATCCTGATGTTCTGTAATGTTTCTGAAAATGTTACTATCAATGCACACAATTACACCATTTGCAGCACTAGCTCTGAGGGGCTTCTCTTTAACAGCCTTTGTCAGCAACACATCTCTTTCCTAGTATAGACAGAGCTTTAATGTTTATGCCTGAAGGGCATGTTCTCAGTGTCTGTCTCACTGTTCATTGCACACTGCACTTTCATACTACGTCTTTCATTTCCTTCTCTCCCTGGACCAGGGTCTATCTGTCTCTCTCACTTGCCAGTGGAGGGAGACATTAAACTTCATAAAATAGGAGCTCATTCTAACTTCTTAATATCTTTGCTTTTTAGGCCTGTGATTTAGTCATTTATACCAAAGGAGTCAAAAGTATTTATCTTTAATAAAATCCTCTTTTTTTTAGTTTTGAGTAGCTTCCTATGGAGGATTAAGGAAAAAGACCTACTTATTTACTTTGGGTATTTCAACAGTGCATTCTGTAACTTTCCCATTAAAAGATAAATGAATGAAGGCACTAAACATGTAATTTATTTTAGCTTTTGCATGGTGACTTTGTCACACTGATGTAAATATGACCTTCAGTGGAATAGATTTCTGCAAAATGAAATTTAATCTGGTTGCAAGAAGTGTAATTGGTTTCTATACTACTTAAGTCTTTATTTGCTCTTTAAGGTAAATCATTATTGTACAGACAGTGTTTGTAATTGTGATTTATTTATTTATAAATATTGTAAATGTACTATGTATAGTAAAAATGTAAGATAGTTAAGTGTCATCTTATATTTAAAATTATTTAAGGAAGGTCAACAAATAACTTATCAAGTGCTTGAAATTAACTGATATATATAGTTCATTATTTAAAATTATCAGGGTCTGAGTTGTAGACCCAAAATCTACCGCATGTCTCTCTCAAGCTAGTAACAATGTACTAATCGCCCATTTGTCGAAATAATCAATTTTTATGTAAGTCTTTTGCATTGTTGTTTATCCCTCTCATTTCATTGTTTTCATGGGGTGATGAGAATTTGAGCCACACAGGAGTCACAAATAATTGTCAAATCTCATATAAGATTTAGCCAGCAGAACAGACATGTACACACTGATGTTTAAACAGATTTTTTTTCCTTCTGTAGACACAGGGTCCAGTCACGTACTTGAAATTGAAATGAAGTGCTCAATACTGCAAAGCATTTACCATAAAAGTCCCCCAGTGAGAGATTTTGCATGTCTAAACTTTTGCTTAAGTGCTGTGCAAGCTCACATGATCACTATATTTGAAATGTGGGTTTTTATTCTAACATCAGTGTTCAGTGATTTAGCTTTCACAGGTTCCTTTTAGCCTGGAATATTACCCATGTGATCCTGAGCTCAGAAAGGAATTCTTTTTGAAGATTTGACCTTTTTTTGATGGTGTTCCAGATTATTTGGGAAGGGAGGGGAGGAGGAAGAATCTTCTTGGTTTTGACCAGAAAATCTGTACTTGGAACAACTTCAAGTGCCTAAAACCATCACCCTTCTCTCCCCACCCCACCTCACCATCCCCACTTCCTCTCTCAGACCCCCCACACTCACCAGCAGTAGCAGAGAAGGGGCA